TTTTCCTCCGTAGAAGTCTTCATATCTGTAGCAGAGAAGCAGCAGTGAAGCATATTTAAATGGATATATATATGCATGACCACAACAGATATGCACTGGTGAATTACATAAAATAGATATATATCAGAGAAACAAATGCAGAGGAACCAGGAATTTGCAGTCAATGATCGATCCATATTCATAGAATCAACTAATTGTGGTACAATAAACGTAGAAAGAAAAGAAAAACAAAATTATTGGATAAATCATAAATGTAGCACCTTGCAAACTTGTCTGCGTCTTCTTCATCCTCATCATCGCCAATGTCTAAATCTCCAAGCTAAATAGGCAAAATGAATCGAATTAGAAACCAAAAAGACAAGCTTCAAAATCAGCAAAATTCTTAAGCCAAAAACCAAATAACTATCCAACAAAAAATTCAAGCAGGGCCTCACCAGCTCATCTTCTTCTTCATCCTCATCATCATCATCATCATCATCATCATCATCATCATCATCATCATCATCATCATCGCTACCTTTCTTCTTTTTCTTCTTCTTCTTCTTTTCAGTCTTCATTAACCCATATTCCCTAGCTTCACTATCCTCCAAAGACTTCTTCAAATCCTTTATCTTAAAAAACCCATCCTCTATCCCATTATTACCTTCAGCTTCACCTTCACTGTCTTCTCCCTCCTCTTCATCCTCACTCTCATTCTCTTCACCTTCTTCTTCGTCTTCTTCTTCCTCTTCCTCTTCCTCCTCCTCCTCCTCATCGTCTTCATCAAATTCATCAAATTCCTCATCAGAACCATCGATTTCGTTCTTTAAACCCTCATTTTCAGCTTCCAGAACCTTCTCTTGGCCTTGTACAAGCACCTTCAGCGTCTTAATCTCGTCCGGATTTTTCTCGAACCGTTTCAAATCTCGGCGGAGGCTCGAGATGAGCGGCTGAGATTGGAGGTCGATTTGCTGCCATATCTGCTCGGCGTCGAAGCCGTCTGTTAACAGCTGATCAAATGGCGATTTGGGCGTGAACGGTCTGAGGGAGGAGAAGAGGTTCTGCAAGGCCGTTCGAGCCGTTTGGGAGAGCGCGGAGCTCGGCGTCAGTAACTGCGTTGGGTCTGTGAGTTTCAGGGAGTTCAGGGCTTCGCTACTGATCGCCATGGGTGAGCGAGAATGCGAGCTCGGTTTGTATTTTGTTTCTTACAGGTTCGCTCCGGTTTGGGGTTTAGGGTTTTAGATGGGGAGTTGGTACTGTATGTATAGTCCTTCTGTGGAATAGGTACATGGAAGAAAGCCGGGCCTGCTCCAACCTGTTGATGAAATGCCTTCACTTGGTCCTTGTCTTATGGGCTTAAAAATACATTTGTTAATGTTGGCTCCCATCCAAAAATGCCCAGGCCCCACTTAGAGCGTTCACACTCTCTCTCTCTCTCTCTCTCTCTCTCTCTCTCTTCTTCATTTTGGTTTCCCCTTTTCTCGACTGAGAGTGACTCTCTCTTTCTCTGCAAATTTTTCCCCCTCCTCTCCCGCTCTCTCAAAAATTGGTATTGGGTATTTGGGTTTATCATTTTCCAACTTACTCAGTACCCGGAGCCTCATCCAGCGTGTAAGGGGATCAAGTCGCAGAGTTGTCATCGTGCCTGGTAATCCTTGTCCTCTCCCTTTCATTTTCTCAGATAGTTATTTTAGATTAGAAAACCATTTCTACCGTTGAACAAAATGCTGAACCAGTATCTCAAAACTTCAATTGCTTCGACGCGAGGCCTATATTTCATCAATTTATTCCCTTTCAAGAATCATTCCTTATCCCTTTGCTGTTCTAATGCTAATATCTTTGGATATGTGAGATCCCCGATTGAACCCATATCTCATGTTCGAACTTATATGCTCTCTGCATCTTCGTCTTATCACCTGGTGCCATTTCTAGGGACCCCTTGTTTGAATTTGGTCAAATTATCGCAGCCCCTGAATGCGCTCGCTGCGTTTAGGGTCTCTATGCGTCATTTTTGTTCGGAGACTGTTACAGTGGATCAAAATTTTGACTGTGATGGGAGGAGTGGTATTGAGGACGAGTCATTAGAAAGTGATGTAGATAAGTTTTGCGAGACCAATGATTTCGTTTCCGTTTCTCTCCCCAAAGACTCTCCTCTGTTTGGTACTCTTAACCCCCTTTTTCTTTGCCATCACAAGTACGCAGATATGATGCTGCCTTTATCTAAATTATGGCTATGAACTGTTTGGCTGCTAAGAAATTTGATGAAAGAAAAAAAAGAAGACTTATGAATGGCATTTTGTTTATTTAACTCCCGAATAGTACAAATGCTCAATTTTATAGTCAAAGTTTCTATCTTTTTTATTTCTTCTTAATTTTTCTTTGGGCAGGAGGTGGGAGGGTATGTGTGGTTTGTTGTCCATGTTACCCAGATTTTAACAAAAGCAACAGCGAAATGCCTAGGTTTTAGCAAACGGAACACACACAGAGAGATGAGCAGCTCCACGAGGAAGAAGGTGCAGAAGAAGTGCAAGATCAGAGGCTACACGCTTGAATTGGATGCCGTCGACGAGATCCTCTCCTTTGAATCCGAATTCAACAACGACTCTGCTTTGGACGATCCCGTCGATATCCTCCTCGACCTCCTCGTGACCCAGCCCAGTAATTCCCCCCATTTCTTTCGTGTCTTATTATTTGTTCGCAAGTCAATCATTTTCATCTTGTTCTTCTTTTTTACTTAAAGTGAAGCTTGTTTCTTTTTCTTCTTTTTCTTGGGGTGGCAGTAAAAGACAAGGAGACGGTGCACCGCATTGCTACACGTATATTGGGTGCTGATGCGACCATCAACGAAACCACCGACAGCGATGGTGATGATGTTATAAGAGCCTCTGATTTGCTCATAGTTGATGCCTTGAAGGTCCCAAAGTTCCGATATGATCCCATCAAGAAGGTTTTTTACAAGTATGTTTCAATTTTTGCCAACCAATTCTTAATCTTTATAGTGAGTAGTATAAATTTATTGAAAATGCTTTTTTTTTTTGGGAGGAAATTTTTAGGCATACTGGGAGCCTACCCATGCATGGTGACGCATTTTCGAAAGCAGCTCTGTATAAGGATAGGTTTCTCTTGCTCTCCCAGATGCTCTCTCGCCATAAGGATTTTTCCAAACCAGCCTTTGATTCTGAATTGTCAGATTTCGGACGCTGTGAGGTTGGTACTCACATTGTCTTTATTCGACGAAATCTAGTTGGGTTTCTTTCCTAAATGCCAAATTTCAATTAAATAAATTCCTGTATGGTACGGTGGCCAGATATCTCCAATTCAGTCTCTGATTGGGCAAACTGGAAGGAGATGGGTGATGGGTCTGATATCTCAGTTGGAGGATGGCCATTTTTACTTGGAAGACCTTTCTGCTTCTGTCGAAATCAACTTATCCAATGCAATATCCTTTACGCACTCTCATCATTTATAACTTCACACTTGACACTTGACCTTTGGGTTGTTCTGTTTGCATCTAATACAGAGTGACTAACTGGTGTCTTGTCATTTGATGAAATGCATTGATTCCTTGTCTTTATGATAATGGCTCATGGGTGTAGTAGGTTATGGCTATGCCTGAACTCATAAAAGCTAGAGTTGAGGTTCAGTCAAATCAAAAGCATGAAATCATCATTTTCCTTGACAATATATACAAGATAACTGCAGGATTTTTTGTAGAGAACACAATAGTTGTTGCAGAAGGCGAGATGCTCTTAGAGGGTGTCTTTCAGGTTAGCTAACGTTCTTTTATTCTCTTTACTCTTAAAAAGAAATTGCACATCCTTTTACTACTCCTAATATGAGGTTGGATCAATATATCATAAATTCATAATATGTTAATCCCTTTAGCTAATCCAGAGCAGATCAGTATATATAAAAAGTAAATCAAGTGAAGTTACCTGCCATGAGATTGTATCAGGCATCAGGTTCCTAACTTTGGATCAATGTATATGTATGAGATGCAAACATTTAACTTATGAAGTTAATCTTTAAAGAGATGCTAACACTTACTTTTTGTGAAGGTGTTTAATTGCGGATTTCCTCCGCTTGAGGGCAGAGATAAGTCACTCCAATTTCTTGCAGGACATGACTCTTTTGGTAGTGGTACACTAACAGAACAGGAGACGGTATGCTAAACTTGCTTTTTGGTGATATTCAAAATTGTCTAATTGTTCAACTTTATAGACTAGCCAATTATTATGAATTTATAGTTTCCTATACACTTCAAACAGCTCAGACTTGCAAAGTTGGAAAGAGAAGCAGTTAATGGGAATGTTGTCATACTGTCTGACATTTGGCTAGACAATGAAGAGGTTATTCTTCTTTCTCTTGTAAAGATGGTTATAACTTCTTTTGTTTCTCAGAGTACTGTACTTGACATTAATTGATAGTTCTTTTCTTATTTGAGAAGGCTATGGGAAAGCTGGAGAGAGTCCTAGATGCTTTTGAGAATGAGGACTTTGTACCGTGCTTATTTGTACTCATGGGGAATTTTTGTTCTCATCCATGTAATCTTGGTTTCCACTCCTTCTCCAATCTCAGGTGAGGAATATTTTGCTAAGATTTATTTTGTTGACTGAAAACAGTCTTTTCTTTCTTTAACAAGTAACAGTAATAGTGAACAAACTGGATGTGCAGGTCGCAGTTTGGCAAGCTAGGGCAAATGATTGCTGCCCATTCACGGCTAAAAGAGGGTAGTTGTTTTCTATTTATCCCGGGTCCTGATGATGCAGGTATATCACACCTGCTTTAACATGCTTCTCCAAAGAAAGAATATGTTTCTTCAAAAATGGGCCTATAGTCTGGGTATATCACACTTGCTTTAGTACTCTCTGCTTTTTGACAATTTCAGGCCCTTCAACTGTTCTACCAAGGCCTTCTTTACCAAAATATTTAAGAGAAGAGCTTCAAAATCACATTCCAAATGCCATATTTTCAAGTAATCCTTGTAGGTATGTTTTTCTGATTACTGATGAGTTGACGTATAAATGATGAGATAAGTATTTTATTGCAGATAACTGCACACTCTGGTGTATTTAGATTCACATTTTATGAATTCTAAGACAAAAGAGCTTACTTCTCACCTGGCACATTGGGATTCATGAATGCAAAGTGTGTGTCTTCTTTCTTGTAGTTTCAGTTGGCTTTCTGATCAATGACTTGCCTTACTTGAATGCAGAATGAAGTTCTGTAGCCAGGAGGTGGTATTCTTCCGTCAGGATCTGCTGTACAGAATGCGCCGTTCATGTCTGATGCCCCCTTCTACAGAAGAAACTAATGATGACTGTGAGCATGTGCTCTCTCTCTCTCTCTCTCTCTCTCTCTCTCTCTCTCTCTCTCTATAATATATACATGTACATATATTCTTAATATCTTGTTAACTGGTGCATAATTACTAAGAAAACTAACAGGTTCTCATTTTTTTGTCACAGCTGGTTGCTACCATAACCCATCAATGTCATCTCTGCCCTCTCCCTCTTATTGTACAACCGATTATCTGGAATTATGATCACTCTCTGTACCTCTATCCAACTCCACATACGGTAATACTGATATCCATTTCTTGTCCATTTCACCTTCCTTCTCCCGTGGAGTTCCTCCATAATAAGGAGTGGTGTTTGACAAAGCAATTCCTATCTACTAAAACTGAAACTTTAGAAGACACTTGGACCGTCATAAATCATTAAGTCATTAATAAGTCTTGACAGACCTTTGATTTTCATGTGCAGATAGTTTTAGGTGACAGAAGCGAGCAAAAGGCTTTCAAATACACAGGAATCACTTGTTTTAATCCTGGTTCCTTCTCAAGCGATGGCGCCTTTGTGGTATACCGTCCTGACAATCAGGAAGTTGAATTGTCATCCTTATAGTCAGAATCATCAATTGATGGACAAAATTAATTTGTTTTGTTTGTAGTGAATATGCAGATTTCCATTACTTCCAAATTTAGAGACATTTGCAGTTCGCGGTGCTACTTTGTTTTGTTTACTTCTCTTGTTAGGCACAACCAATTGCATGTCATTACTGCGACAGCCCTGAATACCGTGCCTTGCTTCCTCAGTGTGATCATAATTGCCTACAACATCATTTAAAAATCTTTGACAAGAAAAACGTCCCTTCCTGGAACTCAAACCCGGAGGTTTAGAAATATCTATCTTGAAAATTTCCTTCTCAGCGTGTTTTTCATCATGACCAGCATTAGTACTATCACCACTGTTTGAACCAATTGAAATTGAATCCAAAACGAAGGTGTCATGCATATCAGAGTAACCTTTGGTATACATCACTGTAACAGCTCACCTGTGTATGAATACCCTCCACCTCATCAAAGATGGGAAATCCAGAGTCTTTAATTAGAAGCTGATTTTCATAATTGCCAACAGAAGGAATACCAACCTCATCACTGGAAGAGGCGCATGTGTTTGGTGTTTCAGATTTCTTGGGGCCGCTATCTGGCAATGAAATTTCTGGTGCAGTTGACGAAGACATTTGTCCGTCCCCATCATTGCTACCACAGGGTTCAGAAGCTGAACCTCCATTGGCATATTCCTCAGACAACACTTCCGGTTCATTAGACACCTTCGTGCTCTGTTTTCCCTTCTTTCTACTCTTCTTTCTGGAACTTCTTTTTGCAATGCTGTTTATTTTTTTCATTACCCAATGCTCATAGTTGAGGAATTAATAGAGTTAGAACCATTTGGGATGGTACTTGAGGAATCACTGCAGCCATTATGGAAAGATTTCCTGGAAAGTTCATTCCATTTAGTAGCTTTATTTGCCAAAGTCTTATTTCGAGATTGGTGGCGCATAGCTGAACCAGTGCACCTTCTACCTGTAAATGACTTGACAGAATAAGTAAAATCAAGAGGAGGCCCTTTCTGCACCTTTTCCGTCAGGTTCACTGAAAAGCACTGAAAGGATAGGACACCTGAGAAGTTAAAATAAGTGATGAATAGACAGTCATTTCCCTGAGGCTCCCATCAATCAACTCAGCTTGTCAATGAACAATAATAGATCAGATGATTCTACCTGCCATACCAAAACACTGGCCCATACTCTACTCTAATGGTAACTAGTACAGTAGTACTCTCATCATGCATGCAAAATCTCATTACGCAGATTAAACAAAATCCTATCTGGAAGGAAGTGCTAATGCAAAATCTCAGTAATGACAGCAAAAAGATGGGGACCATGTATACATGGGCATATATGCATACATGTATTATGTATTAGATGTACATATGCATTACGCATAGCCAACAAGCCTATATATTACATCTAAAGATGTTCTGAAACTCTTTTGCTCTTTCTTTGATAAGGAATATCTTCGAGTGTCTGAATTTTTCTGGATATCACTGTTAGTTCTTTGAAGGGCACAATGCATCTTTTACTGTGCCTGTCCATATCATTAGCACACAATATAACAAAAAGGTTTTAATGTATTCAAGATTTAAACACTTTACACTATCAACAGAAATACTGGCAAAGTACCTCAAGCTGTTGAAGATGAAGGTCCAAACAAGAACAGACGTTGATTCCCTTTGATCATCAAACAAGTAGAAGGCATTGGTTCATAAGTTACAAGCTGACAACCAAACATAGGTCACATTCACCACTGCTACAAGTGCCCGTTTAAACAAAAGGATCGAAATTTAAAGCACAAATACAAATATACATAAAAGAAAGAAACCAGAGAAAATAGAAAACTGCAATGGCTTGCTCACAATCCTCACACTAAAATTCTATCTACCAGTCAAAAAACATACATTTGTATCAATGGGCCTCTTTGAAAAGACCCGATGCTATGTTTCAGTGGTTAACAGACCACTTGGTTTAGGGTGGACCAGGATCCTGGACTGATGCACTGCAGGTTCTCGTGGACCAGGATCCTGGACTGACAGGCAATCTCCTTGTTGAACGTCTAGTTGGAGCTCATGTTGAACTAATTTCAAAAGAAGAGTATGCAAAATTCGGCAGTGGGGTGTGTTAGTTTTGCTTTTCCTTTGAATTAACCATGTATTTTTTTAATGTTTATGAAGTAATATTTAATTGAACACACATTTTCTTATAGCTTATTGAATGTTCCTCCTTTAGTCTTTTTAGCAATGTTACTGTCTCTGGTTGAAGTCTGAAGTTGAAACACCGATCTCTGGCTAAGTAATTCTTTTAAGACGCAGTTTTTATAAACTGCATATCAAGTGATATTTTTGGTTTAAATGGACAGTGTCTCAACAGATAGGGGGAAAAAACTATACAGCCAAATCTTACTGTTCTACCAACGTGCATTTTTTTTGGTCGAGAACATGCATTTCTGATACTAATGAATTTATAGATTACCTTTGCTAAATCTCTAGTGATTTGGGTTCTTATATTCAATTTCGTCTCAGTCTCTTGCTAATCTCTTAAAGGAAAGACTGCTAAAAGAAGGAAGAAGGCCATATGTTATTCCTGTTGGTGGATCAAACTCCCTAGGAACCTGGTGAGATTGGGTTTGCCCTTCAATTGAAATGTGCATAAACTGCCTGTTTAATAATAATTTGTTTATGTACACTTTAACTGCTGTATTTTTCCCTCTATCTCCTTTCTATCTGTCATATATTTTTTAAGTATTCATTTTGGGTTCCTAGAATTTGATGCAATTTCTTTGCTTCACAGTGGAAATGAGAAGTATTTCCTATTTTCCAACCCGAAGTTTTCTAGTTTTCTTGACTTTTTAAAGCTCTAGTCTGTATTGGAAATATGGTATCTGGTACCTTTTCTTCACTTTAATCCATCATAACTCGTGGCATATGGTATAAACCTAATGGTTGGGGTCTTCAAAATGAGAAGGGAGAAGGGAGGGAGGGGTGAGGGTTGTGAGGTTTCAGTTTCCTGTTCAAAGTTGATTATGACGGCTTCCATTTCTTTTTTCTTGATATTATCACATTTGTGTAATTTTTTTATATATATTCAAGGGGTATATTGAAGCAATTCCAGAGATTGAGGAGCAGCTTCAGAGTGTGACCGACAAAGTAAAGTTTGATGATACTGTTGTTGCTTGTGGCAGGTGCTTTTCTATGCTATCTTATTTTCAGTTGATATAACAAGTCCTGCATGCCTGCCATATGTTACAAATTTTTTCATGTCCTTTATGTATGGATCTTGAGATATGGAATTGTTAATTTCTAGTCAGTTTTGATACGAGACAGTAGGATCCTTGAATCGAAACCATTTGTTTTTTGTCTACTCACCCTTGTTTTCGTATTTAACAGCTCTCACTTTCCTTTTGTTGTGAGAAGTTTTGGACTTCACTATTATTTTATTTTTTGGATTTCTGTGTCCGGATATTGATTAAGAATTCAGAGCTAAAGTCACTCTCCCTCTCTCTCTCTCTCTCTCTCTCTCTCTCTCTCTCTCTCTCTCTCTCT